AAAAACCTGTGTCAAACATTCATTGATTTCATATTAATATGTATTTTTCTCAAAACCCAATCTTATGTGGTAAGTAGTAGTATTTATTACATTAATAATATTTGACATTTAGGGTCGTATTCTAGAACTCTACTCAATGCTCAAGTCAGGATTGCACTGGAAACACAAGCACTGGAAATACGACCCTAATGACAGGGACTTGAGTACGATTTCGAGTGGTTTGAATCATACTCAAATCCTGACTTGAGCATTGAGTAGAGTTCTGGAATACGACGCTTAGACATTTAGAGAGCGAAATCTTATTCCGATCTCTGATTGAATGTGTATACTCTCTAACTCTGTTAAAGATGTACATTGGGATCATAATAAAGCACCAAGGTACCGCGTGTGGCACCCTGCGGTGTATGCGTCATGTGCCAATGCGCAGATGCGCGTTTTGATGACTTTTTTTTGATGATGCGGTGTGGCGAAGGTTAAGCTTAACGTGTATACCCTTTCACAAATCGCGCGGTTCTGTGGTGCTCCGTGTGTAGCGGACTGTATAAACTATTTTTGATTTTTTAAACAAATCTTGGTTTTAAAAAAGGTTTGTTTGAGAAAACAAATACACGCTATTTGGACATGGAAAATATAGTTTCATTTCGTATGCAAAACCAATAAAGTAAAGCTACGAATGAAACACAGAGAAAAATAATGACAAAGTAAAAAAAGCGCCATAAACAAACATATTTAAATTTAGAATTTCTATCTAAAACTAAACTGCTTGACTGTATAAAATATATACAAAAAAAGATTTGTAGTGACTGCTGCGAGTCAATACAGTGTGTGTAATGTTGCGGCGAGTTAGCACGGTGCCCGTATGTGGTGCAATATGCGCAATTTTTGTATAATTATATAATTCATAATTATACAAAAAAACCGTGCGGCACCATATGTTGACAATAGTTTTTACAGACATTATATTTTCCACGCTTTTAAAAAGTTTTAAAGCAAAATTTCTGGTCTGCTTCCAATTAGCAAGTGTTGTCAAATCCTAATTATAAGAAACATTGCGCCAGGTATTATGTCTCGGTGTATATAATATATGTATATATTCTTTAATTTATTGCAATCCCTTCTACTTCCGATTTTCTGAATCAGTGCTTTACTAAAAGCTCTAGTTATACAAGACCCATTTTGGGTCCGCTTAGTAGGTAATTATGGACAGAGGTCGTAATACGAGGCGGTCCCTACGACCGGCACACTCCTTTTGATCCTTGTTCTTTATGGCTGCTGACCCGAGTAATTCCCTACATTTTACGTGAACATGCTATGTGTATTCGTAACAAATATTATGTAGGCACATGGTTTATAATTAATTGATTTAAATCCGATTTTTTCTCGTCGTTCGAGCTAATTCGGCCGAACCAGGGAGCAACGTCGCGTCGAGTTTTTAAGAAGCATTACACATTTGACTGTACTATTTCGTTCATACATTTCTCTTTAAAAATAGAGCTCCTTGTGAAAGAGTTCGTATAGGGAAGTACTGCAACCTTACCTATTTCTGCCGCCAAGCAGTAATATGACCATTACTGTGTTCCTGTTTTGAATAGTAAGGGTGCTGGTGAAATTACAGGCATATGGGACTTGTCAACTTACTGTCTCAGAGTGATGGGCGCGGCGGAAGTAGTGACTCCCAAATCTTTGATACGTACAGCTCTGAGTGGTACTGTAACTCCTACTGATAAGGATGTCGCTTACCACCAGGCGCACGACTTGCTCGTCCCGTTACGTGATATCATAAAAAAAAGAATGTGCACTTATGTATACACTGTACTGAATACAATGTTGTCTAGGTAGGAGTATACATAGAGAGGGATACTTAATCTATACACTGCTAACTTAGAGTACCGACAAACAGAGAGAAAACAGTGCCTAGCGAGAGACACAGTAAATTACAATATTTGGGTTGTTTAATCAAAGTAGTAGGTATCCATGTATAAGTCTTCACTTCAATCATTGATGCAGACATACCATCTACTTTATCTCACACTGACTGCGCTATGGCGCTAGTTCGCTTACGCCAAAACGAGGTACTTAGAGCTCTGCGAAGTCTAGACGTGAATAAAGGCAGCAGGCCAGATGGGATTCCAGCAATAGTTCTGCGTAACTGTGCGCCAGAGTTGTCTCCTGTCCGCTTCTATAGCCTCTTACTTAAGACTGGTGTAGTTCCCAGGGTGTAAAAGCTTGCAAACGTGCAACCTATGCCCAAAAAAGGAAGCAGAGCTGACCCTGCCAACTCTACAGTTGGTAGAGGCAACTCTATAGTAATTCTGTATCGTACCTTGATGACAACGACGTCATTAATTATCGCCAGTACGGATTCCGAAAAAGGCGATCTACTGGGGATCTTCTTATGTATGCCTGTCACACATATGGAGTGAGGCTATAGAAAAGCAAGGCGAAGCACTTGCAATGTCTTTGGATATTTCTAAAGCCTTTGACAGCATCTGACACGCAAGCTTTTCAATGCAAGCTACCTTCCTATGGGCTTCCCACTGACCTTTGCAATTAGATCACAGATTTCTTGAGCGAACGTTTGATTCGAGTGGTCTTAGAAGACAACTCTTCCGAACATATGGCGATGGAGTTTCTCAGGGTTCCGTACTGTCTGCAACTCTCTTTCTGCTGCATATAAACGGTATGTTAATTCTTTCCTTCGCGTATGCTGATGACAGTACGTTGCAGACAGGTACTTCAGTGGTGAGGAACGCTACCAAAACGCAAGCTTGTCTATGCTCCACAAAACGGAGTCCCTTCGACCTGACTCGATCGACTTTCCGTGATATACTATACTGATGTATAGTTTTTAGTAATAAAAAAAGATTAAACACGTCAAAAAAGATTGCAATTGCGACCTGCTGACAGAGAATCGCATGTGATAAAAAGACAGTAAACTACAATATTGCCAATTGGAAGAAACACTCGAATAAACATAAGGTGTAACTGCTCTCGGAAGTTTATCTTGGACCAAACAATCACGAACTCCTAATAAATCACAACAATTTGTCAATGTAGAACTAATTCCGACTGAGGCAATACGTTTCAGTTTGTATAGTACAAACTGAAACGTATTCCCTTAGTGTTCTGATATTGCAATATTGGCAAATTAGTTAAACCTTCACATAATTTTATGACCCGTTGAAGTACATATGGGTGTCATATTTTAGCGAAGAAAGAATTTTTTGATTTGCGGGTCACGTATAAATCGTTTGCTACGTTTTATGTTTCAGAGGAACTATGTGTTTGCTGCGTGTCTTGACTATAGTATGCTAAATGTAGCAAAGGCTACATTTTATTACATCAAAAATCTATATATAAATGGGTTGATGATTTTTTAATTTTTTAGCGATTATGTATGTAAACGCTTGTAATAAAATTCCTATCGTCGGAACCTACCTACCAAAATCGTACCTGACGATATTATTTGTTTTGGAATATGTCAACATATAAATGTAGGTACATTCTCAATATGAATGATAATTCTCCACGTTTCGAACTAACGTTCGCAGTTGGGTTTCCATTTCCTTATTTCGGTTCGGTTTTCTCTGATTTGGGAGGTTTGTGAGTAGTGCTTATTCAGTTATTTAGATAAATTAATCTTCAATAGAAAAAGATACGAAAAAATTATAGGGTATTTAGTACAAACCTAAGTTTCACTTCTATGTTTGATCGTGTTTCAATGATATTAAAAATGTTATGTAAATGAATATTTAACAACGTAGTTGAATAGTTTGCAAGCTTATATCCCTGTGGAGGGAATGGGCCTTCAACACATAAAACCCCAGGGAAATAAAGCAAAACGAGTTCACGACAGACATTTCAACCGGAGCTGTCTACGATAAAGAGACTAGCTGGGGCAAAAGCGTTTTTGCGATTGCTTGAAGCTTTTATGGCATAGATATAGCTATCCAATCCGAGTATTTGATAAGATAAAATACCCACAGCGACTTCATATTTCTCTTAGATACCTAAGTAATTTTTTAGAAGTATAAAACGTTAGTAAGTTGAATAAAAATAATCTTAATAATATCTTAACAAACATGAATGTAATATCGTCACTGGAAAAGCGAAATTACTAACCTACAAAAGGCCAAAATGGCGCTTTAGTACTTTCACTTTTCCAGCGACGATATATTTTTCTAGAATAAATCTGGGCGTCTACTTTTATTTACAAGTCACAAAGGTGTAACTCCTTTCTATAGAGTCAATGTTGCAAACTTTTGGATAAATTTTGCTCACTCTGCCCTGGAAAGGTTCAACGAAAATATTTTGCTAAAGTATTGTTCATTCTCTCATGTACAAACGTCGACCTGTATTTTAATTTTTATATAAAATTACAGAGCTAATTTTACACCTTTTCTAAACAATGTTAAATACTTCGGATAAAATACCGTCACATTTTCCAAATAAAAAAGTTGTGCTAGTTTCTTAATTTCAGTCATTCATAATGTTAAAGTTCACCATGGCATAAATTTTTGAACAAATAGAAATATTATTAAAACGACGTTTAGTTGTTATTTAGGTTAGGTTTTAAAATAAACGTACCAGAGTAAACATTTATATTATAACATACATATGTATATGCAATTAGTGATGTTGGCGTAACTTGACGTATTTCTAAACACGCTCTCCACATTGATTGAATGTAGGACATCATAAATTATCCAGATTTATGAGAATAAGTTCATAAATTATAAAACAGGGCTATGTTTTATTGGTTTATGTAGATTATAAGACGTTGACAATGTTATTAACTATAGAATGAGACTACGTGAAATTGTCTACTAAGTTAAAGCATAGGTATAAAACTACCGTCAGCAAAAAGATAATAACAAGATAGTCTGACTTTGAGAGATCCGTTCCTTATCAGGAACTTGACCTATTTAAAACGTGGTGTTCTTAAGTGTCGCTATGTTTTGTCGAACAGGTGTATACTTAGCAAAACTTTTTATTTTCAGATCTTTACCAGTCAGCCAGACTTGGTTACGCTTGCTCTTCAACGTTACTGTCAAGAAGTCAGCCAACATTCCTAAGACACACCAAAAAAAGCCAAGATGTACGCGAAAACGAAGAGATAAGAAGTATAAGAAGGACAAAAGTCCTACCATGTTTTCGTTAGCCGAGGGATGTGGATGCGTCAATTTTCGCAGCGGACGGCGGGCACGGTCTCTGGGCGACGATTCCTCATCATGTCGGAGCTCGGAGATAGAACAGGAGGTGCCGAAGAAATTGGGAAAGAGAGTTTTAAACGGAGAATGTACCATGAAGGCTCTCGCCCCTTTCTTCAAGTTCTGGAGACGGGATGACGTCAGCATGACCAAGGCAGAGAGAAGTAAGTATATAAGTGCTATTTAAGTTCCCAGATGAGTCACGATAAAAATTATAGTTGATTTTATCTAATGTTACACTTGATAAAAGTCTTCCATGTCTTTTCTTTTGGTTGAGACATCCCTACGTGGTCCAGAGTGTACCCTCTAATCAATAAACCCTTCCACCTTAGTTGTAGGATTTAGGACAAAATGGGACAGGTTTATTGCCACTTTATCTTCGTACGTAATTCTTAGTACCTTCCTTTTATATTAAACACTGAGAATTTTCTCTTCACGGTGTTAAGTTTTAAAGTATTTCCCGAATTTGCAATTTCCTGAAGCTCAGCGGTGTACAAAGTTGAGTAGTAACAACCAAAACGTTGAATATTCTGCAGTAAAACTAAAAAAAGAAATCTTCAGCGGCGCCTGTAAGGAGCGGTCTCCGTTATAGGATTGTTTAATATGAGTAGGTAATTTCTTTTTGCATAGTTGGCTATTTGTCAGTAATAGTAAATTAAACTTTAATTGTACAAAAAAACTGCTACGTAAATATTGCATGTACATCTTCTAGCACAAAGCTAATTTAGTTTTTGACGTTGTCGACATAAATAATGTAACTCTGCCGTGTCGGGTCGCGGATGAGATACGTGACGTATATTTTCAGAGACGAACAAATTTTAGGTTTTATGCTGACCTTAAATAAATCTTTCGTATTCAGGACTTGTATTTTCAGATTTCATAAACTCTTAAGCGAATTAAGGTAAAGTACCTAATGCAAATTCAATTGAGTCTGGAAGCAAGATAAATAAAAATTTAATGTGGTAAAGTAAAAAGTAACAATTTAATAAAGGTTTTATGAATATGTTCGAACAACAGCCTCTACAAATATGACGATGTGTATTAAATATTTTTTTTTAAAGATTCGTAGTAACGATTTTCAATAACTAAAATAGTAAAAAATACGAATACATGGTTGATGTTGCTCGCGTCTTTAGGTTTACCCTCGAGACCCTACAAGTGACCCCTGGGTGATGCTAAAGAGCAATAACTACTGGTGGTAGGCTTCGACGGTGGCAAGTCCCCACCCTCCCGACGCAGTCGAGTCGCCAAATGGTTTTTACCGTGTTCCGACTCGTGTTTGGGAGTTGCCATTTGGAGGTCGGGTCTGAACAGTTGCATTGCCTCTGACGACGAGTTGTAGCTACTTGCACTGCCACACTGAGCACTCGGTACTGAAGGCTAGCGGGATCCGAACCACGGTGCACAGCTGGCCGACTGTGGGGAGTTGGGGGCCCAGGTACTGCCCAAGGCTGCCCCGCCACCCAACGAAAAATCCCGGAATGTTCCACCTTGCCGGTTGCCGAACGAACAGAGGACCAGGTGGAGGACTATCTCCGGGGGGGTTCGGGCGTCCCCGCGGTCTCCAAACCGATTGTACCCTCGTGTGGCTGTATGAGCTTGCTGCTTGGTTGAACACGACGCAGTGCCTCGTTCAACGGCCTTCCTCCTTTATTCACTTCTCCAAAAACAAGCATGAAAAGCAAAAATGGAAAAGTATTCACAGTGGTTGCATGTCCTCCCACTAAAAGTGCACCTCATTAACTTCCGACGTTTGCACTCAAATCTCGATTCGGTCCACTACCACCTTGAAACCGCAGTTGCTTTTCCTCACAGAGACGCAGATCAGATGTCCGACTGACGCAGCGTACCTCAGCTACCCCGGGTATACTCTGGAGCACAGGTTCGTACCTCGTGCCGGAGTCTGTGCGTACTTTCGCGATGACATCTGTGTCAAGCGTCTCAAGGACCTTAAGGCACTGAGTTTTTCTGATTTATGGCTCCTGGTTGATACAGGAGTTACACAAATAGTGTATTGATGTGTCTACCGCTCGCACAGTAGAGATCAGGAGACGACTAAGCTGTTCCAATGTCTGAGCGAGACGTCTGATGCGACTCAGCTCAGATACCCCGTGGCACAACTAGTCATTCTGGGGGACTTTAATGCTCACCATCAAGAATAGTTGTTCTCATACCAGATGACCGAGCACGCTGGGAGAGAAACGCGTAAACTTGCGTTAACGCTAAGCCTTTCCCAGCTCGTCAGTAGCGCCACCAGGATCCCAGATGCTAAGTTTCATTCGGCTAATTGCCTAGACCTTCTGTTAACAACTGATCCAGACCGCTACCCTGTTGTTGTAGGTTCCACTGAACTTCCGACTATTGTCTGATGAAAACTGTATCCGTATACTCCCCACCCGATCAGGGCCCTAGTGGTGACATGAGATGGGTGTGGCGATACAAGTTAGCAGATTGGGACGAAATGCGCCATTTTTTTACGTCATATCCCGGACAGGCGTGCTTTATTTCAGGAGACTCGTCGCGCTGTGCTGATGCTGTAGTCGAGGTCTTGCGTTTGGGTATGGAGTATTACATACCATACTCTGATGTAAGCAATGGACCCCAAGCTCGTCCATGGTTTAACGCTGATTGTAGTTGTGCTGAAGTACATAAACAGTCCGCGTACCAAGCTTGGGCCGATACTTGACTACGCAAAGCTCCGAGTACTCGAATTTGAAGAAAGCTTTTAATAAGGCCGCCAAGAAGTGCAACAGCGTGTGTTACTTAGGGCCAAGTTCGACCATGTGCGCCGATAGGGGCCAAACTTGTCTTTTATCCAGCAGGCAGCAAATTCTTTTGGTCCCTGGCCAAAGCACTTAAATCTAATAATTGTCGCCCATCTTTGCCACCTCTGCTGAGGCCGGATGGCTCGCTGGCTCATACTGCGGAAGAGAAAGCGAATCTCTATGCCTCACTCTTTGCAGAGAGATCGCGTTTGGATGTCGCAGGAAACCTACCACCTACTTTACCTCAGGCTGGCTACACTATGGCGCCAGTTCGTATACGCCAAAAAGAGGTACTTAAAACTCTACGAAATCTAGACGTGAATAAAGCTAGCGGGCCAGATGGAATTCCAGCAATAGTCCTGCGTAACTGTGCGCCTGAGTTATCTCCTGTTTTCACACGCCTGTACCGCCTCTCACTTGAGACTGGTGTAGTTCCCAGGTCGTGAAAGCTTGCAAACGTGCAACCTGTGCCAAAGAAGGAAAGTAGAGCTTACCCTGTCAACTATAGACCTATCTCATTCACTTCCATACTCTGCAAGACTATGGAACGTGTACTCAACAACCGTCTCCTATCGTACCTTGAAGACAACGACCTCCTCAGTGATCGCCAGTACGGATTCCGACGAGGGCGATCTACTGCGGATCTTCTTGTGTATGCCTGTCACATATGGAGCGAGGCTATAGAAAAGCAAGGCGAAGCACTTGCAGTGTCTTTGGACATTTCTAAAGCCTTTGACAGGGTCAGGCACGCAATCCTTTTAAGTTAGCTTCCCTCTTATGGCCTTCTCACTGACCTTTGCAATTGGATCTTGGATTTCTGGTGTGAACGTTCGATTCGAGTGGTGTTAGAAGGCTACTCTTCCGAACATATGGCGCTAGATGGCCGGAGAACCTCAGGGTTCCTTAGGGTTCAGGGTACTGTCTGCAACACTTTTTCTGCTGCATTTCAATGATATGTTAATTCCAGGTACCTTTGCGTATGCTGAATACAGCACAGTTGTAGATATGTACTTGACCAATGCAAGTGTTAGTGGAGGGGAAATTCAGTCTTGTCGAGAGTCCATGGTTAGCTGTTAAATTTGACACTCCAGGCAGTCTCCGATTGGGCAATGCCAATCTTGTCAAATTTAACGGTACCAAAACGCAGGCGTGTCTTTTCTCCACAAAACGGAGTCACTATGAGCTGAATTCGACTTTTCGTGGTATATCCATACCGATAGCCGACTGTCTCTAGCTACTTGGAATGGACCTGTCATCCAATTTGAATTTCGGCAGATACATTGATTCCATGGCCAAAAATACAGGAAGGAAGCTTGGGATCCTTTCCAGGGTGGGGCGTTACTTTACATCGGGACAGTTGCTTTAGCTATACCAAGCACAAACTGATCGTGCATGGAGTACTGCTGCCACCTTTGGGACGGGTCTGCTACATATCAACTGACCACTTTGGATTCAATTGACAACCATGACAAGAGACTTATAGGTGTCTGGGAATAAGTGGAGGCGAAGCTGCAGATCCTTCAACACCGCCGTAAAGTTGCCTGCTTGTCGCTATTGTACAGGATATATCAAGGAGAATGTGCGATGGAATTACACGATTTAATTCCGCCTTCCCCTTTCCATCACCGGGGGACTAGGCGTAGGCTTGGGTTCTACTCCTATGTTGTGGATATTCCAAAGATTCGCACGAAGCGTTACGCTTCCACATTTATATAGCGAACGGCTTTGGAGTGGAATTCCCTGCCTGCAGACTTGTTCCCTGAACGTTATAGCTGGGGTCATTTCAAGGCGAGAGTGAGTAGGCATTATTTAGATGTGCATGCTCCATCGTCGACCTCACCGTCACTTTCCATCAGGCGAGATGGAGGTCAAATGCGCACTTATATATTAAAAAAAATAATTATATTTGTTTATAGAAAGAAATATGTAGAGGACTGTATCAATAGGTTAAAGGGTGGGTGCCAACAACGAGTGAGCAAGACCAAGCAAATGTACTTACAGCTTTTAATAATTTACTAGAAAACACGATATCGCTATCTAAAGTCAAGAAAAAGGCGCCAAAAAGAATCACGTTTAAATTTAGAATTTAAGTATAAAACTAAAACTTAAAGAGACTATAAAATATATACAAAAGAGATTTGTTTTGATTCGCTACATCGTCCAGGCGGAGAAGAGGATGGGGCCACCTATATGTAGTATTCTTCAGAGGACGACATAGCGCGCCGCCTCGAGTCGCTACGTCTGCGACTCTGACCTCACTGTCTACCAGGGTAGAATTGGGCGATAATTACCAACTCCTCTATTCAGACGTGCTTAGGGAGGTCAGCTTTGAAAAGTGGTTACCCAGGCGGAGAGGATTCTCTACCCAGCGTAGGTCAAGGTCACGGTCATTTAATCCTAGAATGATTTAGTCGGATGAAGCGCCTAACAAAAAATGAAAAGGAGTGAGTGGTCGACGTCCGTTTAGGCAACATCGGTGTTGGCATCCATCGGAACAAGTGTTAGGAGACGGCTGTTTACGATCGCTTCGGCTTCCAGCAGGAGAGTCTCTAAAATTTCTGATTTAGGTGCTTGTCCGGCTAAATCATTTTAGGATTTTTTCTTTTTTTCGCAGGTAATATGATATATCCAGACGGATCGAAGAAATTTATCTTAGCGGTAGATCTATATTAATAATTATAACAAACTAGTGAGTAATTTCGCAAAAAAGAAAAATTTAATATCATGGTAGTAAAACATTGTGATATTCAATAAAATTCATATTATAATATGAAATATGGTTCAAAATTCAATGGTAAATAGATAGATAAATGGTTTATTTATCACAAACCAGGCACATGCGATACACACTAACAAACAAAAATAAATATGATATTATGGTATCAGTGACATCCCGTTTATTTTTCACTAAAAACGACTAACGATACACACAATTGACAATTTGACTACAGGCATAATGAATAAATAAATAAATAAGTAATGAGTACGTTTTTAAGGGAATATAATGAGACACCTGATTTTTTAAACAATTTTACCGATTTTTAGGTTTCGGTAAATAAAGCGAAGGCGTAATAAAATTGTCTGTAAGCAGTACGGTGACGTCCTTGAATGGGTTTGTGGGATAGATGAGAGGGGAAGTTGGGCGTAAGGAAAATTACGTTATCACTGTTCAAAGGTTCGCCAATATTCCTGTTCGTACCGCTATTACAAGCTGACAATAAGAAATATTGATAAAGTCTGTTTTCATAAGTTAAACTCAACGCAAAAATGCTAAATATAATAGCACTTTTCCATGTCGTATAAAATTTATTATTATTTAGTAATATCCAATAAAAAGTATAATTCGCCGCTGAAATCTATTAAGTTTGTTAAATCATGACGACGCATATTCAATGTGTGAAAGCACAATTCAAAAACAAATGCCAAAAGCTTTCTATATAATGGTGGTAAAATATATTCAACTTAATTTCATAAAGTTTTGGCAGATACAGTAGGTTACTCACTGATTAGCAGTGAAACTATTTTGGCAGCAAAATTAATAATAATTATTATTATGTTAATTTTGCGAATAAGCCTGATATTGTGATATTGAATCGATCGCAGTCGAGGGTATTTCTTGTGGACGTTACCATCTCACACGACGAGGGTTTCGTGAAAGCCGAAAGCGAAATGTCAAAAGTATCTCGATCTGGCGCACGAGATCACCGACATGTAGGATGTGACCTCCACTGAAATAATCCCAATTGTTTTATTCGCAAACGGATTAATTCCAGTCAGCTTCGCTGGCAGCTTGAGGCGGTTGGATTTCTGTGGCGTGTCGCTTTTAGCACATGTGCAGAAGGCGGTCCTGTTCGATACGGCACGTATTGTATGCCGGTTCTTGAACCTGAGTCCCTGCCGACTGTGCCAATGCCGGAGAATACCACCTCTCCCATTTAAAAATTCAAAATTTATCTTTTGGGCTTCGGGAGAGGCGAGAGTCTAAAATAGATAAAAATAACAGTAATAACGCATACACTCGTAGTCCCGCACTAGGGAAACTCTGTAACACAGGTACCATGAGGTTTGGGATTGTCTAGGTGTATGTCACACCTAGATAACCCCAAATTACACCCAAACTCGAGATAAATAAACGTAGATCTTACAAATATTTGTCCCGGCATGGCAGTCGAACCCGGGACCTCTGCGAGGCAAACCTACATGGCAAAAGTTCGGCCACTGAGGCAGTTAAAATTAGATATTGTACTTCTTTCAAATACCTAATTATTAATAAAAATAATATTCTCGGACTAGTTGGGGGAACGTTTGCCTCTGGCGTAGAAAGTTTTTCGTTCGATTCCAATCGGAAAGGCTGCACAACTAAATCAGTCTAAAATTAGTCTTTGAATCGTAAAGACAATACGCGTTAGCGAAGTTTTACAAAAGCCTATCTTGTGAAATTCCCAGCGCTTACAATCAGTCTCTACCAAAATCTAAACCTATAAGCAACTGCTTAGGGCGTCAGGCCTCGGAAGATGTCAACTCCATAGCTCTAATATGGGTCCCAGTCGAGTAAAAAATCAATCCTTTTTTTTATTTTTATACCTTCTATATATCGATATAATCTGCTTTGTATTAAAATGTAGTTTTATGTTAGTTTATGTCATTCTGACTTAAACTCTAGAGAAAATTCTCAGTTAAATTTCGAATAAGGTGGAAAATTTTTGTTAGTGGAAGTAATTAAAACATTAAACGTCGTTCGCAAAGGGCTTAATATCGAAACGTTATATTTCATTAGCTTCATCCAGTCCATTGTAACGACAATAAATTATGTCGACAAATTTTATTAAAAATTGTTACTGTGGGCTGGTGTACATTTTATTCCGTTTTGCAGAAAAACGAAAAGAGCACATCACAATTTAAAAGCTAAAGATATCCAAGATACTTAACATCGACATTGCCTAAAACACTATTGTTATAAGATTCTTGCACCTATTAGCGTAATTTATACTCGTTGATGACACCTTGAGGAAAAATCGAATGCCTAATTAATTATCCTACAACTAAATTAAGTGTTTACTTTATAACTACGACTTAACATTAAATGTAATGTATACTTGTATAGACTAGATGACGTGTGGTAGCGTGCGGCAAAATCAAAATTGTTTTGTAACACTGTACAATTACATTATACCTATGTAAATTCTATTGTTTTAAATAAATAAAAAAAAAATATTAACAAAATAAAAGGTTTAGTGTTACTTATTTCGTATATTTTTTGTGAATTGTCTATATTAAAACTTGGGTATAATTTGATGACCGTCCTAGAAAGGGCTTATAAAGGTTGCGTATTTTGATACGTAATCAAGTCCTTAATCTACGTATCAAGATACAACTAAATCGAGGTACGAGGAAGAGAACCTTGGAAATTCCATGTTATGGGTAGTACTGATATATAAATTACGAAAACCGAGTTGTATTTTGGCTACGATGAGGAACGATAAACACAATTTACTCGAGCTTATCTTCCAGGCAGAAAGGAAAGCGAAGTGTTTTTAGAAAGCGGCACTCCTGGTTAAAGACTTTGACGGAACGATTCGGTCATAGTAGCATTTAGCTCTTTCTAAGTCCAACTCCTTTTTGAGGAATTCCCAAGAATAACGTCACAGTTTGAACATTTGCGGTTTTCCATTTGGGTCGGTACGTGAATATAATATTCTAGTTTAAATTCATTAAGCCGAGCAAAATGTTGGAAATGCAACTTAAATACACTTTGTAGATTATTCACTATTTCGTACTTGCTTAAACCCACGCAATTGAGTAAGCCGTGGCAGCCTAACGGTTTGACCTACCGCTTCTCAAACAGAGGACGTGGGTTCGATTTCGGACTGCGCCTCTGAGTATTTCCGAATTTAGGTGGGAAACTTAATTTTAAATTTGCCATGCATAAAGATTTTCGGTGAAGGAAATATCGTAAGGATGTTCACATCTGCAAAGCAATTTAATGATCTGTGTGAAGGTCCCAATCACCTGCGTGGGAACAATAGCCCAAGCTCTCTCATTGTGACAGGAGATCTGTGCCCAGCAGTGGGATTTTATATAGTGTAACTATTATTATTATTATTATACCCAAGTGAAATTTACAGGTGAAGGTTTTTACCTCTTAAAATCAACGTCAATCAACTAAAGTATTTGTTACAGCGATGAAGGCTGCTATTCTGATCCAACAGTGGTACCGGCGGTATTTGGCGCGTATGGAGGTACGCAGAAGGTACACCTGGACTATCTTCCAGAGCATCGAGTACGCTGGGGAGCAGGATCAAGTGAAGGTACCAAATCACTCAATGATAACCAATATAATTCAATATATACAAGAGAAAGAAATTTTGGGCTTATCGAACGTGGATTACGAATCGATTGATTATCACAATTTAATCATTCAATATTATACCACAGTTTGACAACTGTGTCATAGTGCTAGACGTATCTATCTAGCACACAAATAAACAAACACACAATAGCAATCAGGCATGATACAGCGATAAATTTGTATAATATGAATGAAATTAAATTGTTAATTGTATTCAATTGATAATTGGCTAGACACCAATCAATTACGTTGAAACTGAGTATTCTCGTATGTTTGTTCAGCTTTAGTATGAAGGAGTTCAGCTTTAGTAGGTTGTATAGATCGGTGAAGGTGATAATGAAAGTATGGTAGGAAAAATTAAATTTTGTATTAGCTGAAGAGGATAGATACAAAATAAAACATGTAGCATAGATAATAAAAAAAAGTAAAATATTGCCTAAAACGTTAAATCTAAAAAAGTGCCTTGGGCACTGTTAGTAGATGAAGCTTTTAAAAATCGATAGCAAAATTTTAAGTGGATTAAGTTAATTCCCAAAGGCTCAAACAAAAACGCTAATGCCGTAACCGAGTAAACAATGTGGGTTGACCCATTTAATGTAGGGAGTCTAATTAACCGTAACTCGCGCTCCCAGTAGATTTCATCATTTTTTAAACGAAACCACTTTGGCACGATTCTTTATCGTAGCGTTTTTTATTTATAACGTTGATTTAGATTTTTAATGCTAGGTGTTGTTTGTAAGTGTTGCTATCAAATAATAGTGTGTTCATTTTGCTTCCGTTCGTTCACATAATATTTGCTAAAGTGGCAGCAACCGGCCACAAGTTCCCAGATGCGCCCTTTAAAACAATATTTGGACAATAAGTTACAAGCGAAGCTTACAATTTCTGCGAATTAAGCACAGTAATATTTCGGTACAAATTGAGCCTTTTACTGTTATTATAAATGGTGATTTAAACCCCAATACCTTATATCTGAATTGGGTTTATTTGTATTTATATATACATTAGTTCAATTTATTGATATTCATAAATATACAAGGCTATAAATATATAAAATAAACTTTTATAGTTTAATACTAGAAAGTAAAACTTTGTGCAATCGGGAAGATGTCATTACAGAGGCAAGCGTTGTTTTTATATTTACTTATACCAGTTTTTATTATTATTATTTTTTATTTTTATAGTTTTTATTTTTATTTTTTATTTTATTTTTTTATTATTTAAACCCTTACAGGAAACTTGTTCTCATTGTAAGTACAATTTGAAAAAATTGTCCCGTAAATATATTTTGTTTGCTCGAGGCATTTCACCCTCTGTTCACACCTCTACGTCATTTAGGTACTTGCCTAATATCTGACCCACAGGTTTACAGTAAATCGAACCAACACGTTTTCCCTGTTTCAGAATATTAAGGGAAAATTGGATTACTCCTGTAAATTAATTTTTCTCATTCGTAGGTGTTTGTTAGTAGTCTTTAATTTTGTTCGAAAATGACAAATTGAAAGTTAATTGTTGTTTTATTTTCATAAATATACAGGTAAGGTATACAATAAATACTTAAATACTAGAATGTAAAACTAGGGTTAAATTATACGAATCAAATTGGGTCCCCTGGGCAAGATGCCCAAGATGCTGGTAGCATTCCCCCTTTGTATAGCTATGCTAATAATGCGTTGGGCAAGGTAGATTTCCCAGACAGTCTATTAATTTTTTGGATAAAATTTTATACAGATGAATTGTATTGGGACCAATACATATATGCCACACACTAAATAAGCGCATAAATGTCGTATCCACCAGCTCGTCACACCATACCATACCATATTATACGCATAAATAAAAGCAAAATATTATAATATTAGTTACTAACTTCGTACAATTTCCTTTTATTAGTAGCACTACGAGAGATATAATGAGTTTCTATTGCTTGCTCATTGGGTGGGGACAAGGTACGTTGTCGTTGATCAACGCGGTAATTAAATTTACCGCCAAACCTCGCAGAGGTTCTAAAATGTAAATTACTCAAAACGTTGTTTTGTTCAGATGAGATTTACATTTCATTTGGAGTTTAAATTGGTTAAAAATTAGTTTACAGAAATTTATTATAGAATTTGCATTTACATTTCTTCCCGACATTTCTCTAGCTATTCAAAATAAAGATTCGAAATTTCAAGCTAAAGCGGATCTAAAATGATTTTAATTTGTACATCAAAAATGCATATCCCAACAGTCTCCAGTTCTGTACACATTTGTTATATTTAGGAATAGATATGTAATATTTATCCTATCTATAACCTATAACTAATACACAGTCAACACCTGCGAGATGTCTAATGAATAATTGATGTAGTTTGATTATTCGCAGCATAATTTGGGGCAGATATTCGATATTCTCAATGCTCTACTCCAGAGATTGCCATATTCAACCATGGCCGGTGTCGAAGCTTTTCTATATGCCATTGGTACTGAATTGCTGATACAACGTACAGCAATGTACCAGCGTAACAATAATCAATTTGTACTCTAATAATTCTAATAGTACGAGTACATAGTACTTTATTCACTAGCTTAGTTTCAAGGTAAAATACCTAGATATTTTTGCAATTCAGCATGTTTGCGGCAGACACCACATTTAATTAAATTTTCTGAAAACTAGTTCATAATCATGCAAAGTACGCAAACCTTGCTCGGCATAGGGGTGTGAGTTCTACTAAATCATCGTGCTCAGTGAGCATTTCACGCGTTCATTCGCCCTTGATGAACAAAGACACGCGGACATCCGACGTATTATCAAATCTCCAGAGAACAATGTGGGCATTTGACTAGTAAATTTGCGTTGTCTGAAAGTAGTCTGACATCAGGATTGGGCGTTTTAGCTTTCTATTTGCATTTGCTAATCTAGGACTTCGTCAATTTTATAACTTCGATTAATATCGGAGTTATTATATAATTATACATAAGGCGCTTTATAACACTTGGAAATTTATAATTAATATTTAAGGGAGGAAACTTAAGCGGATAATATGAGAATCTTTGCTTAGATATAATCTAAATAAGTTTTCAAATCAAATAAAAAAAATCTCCCAAAAAGAGCATCCCTTGGGCAAGAAATAAAATCAGCTTGGAATATAATTAACAAACAATGGTCGGAAAAAGGTGTTCTACGTATATAACACATGTATATGTAGATGTAGCTATAATTACACCAATTATTAATTAATTAATTACTTCTTTCGAATTCTGGAATTCCGGAAATAGTGTTACTGCATCGTAGGACAGTCGTGCTCGAAACTCACAGGCACTCAGGATGATGGTATTTATAATGATTATTGCGACTTCAAGTTTTTTACTTTTTAAGTATTGCCACTTTACTGTTTCTGCTGCTGTAAAAGTGCTGGTGAAATTACAGGCTCGCGGAACTTGTCAACTTATGTTTCGGGGCCCCGCCCCTCAGATTTTTGCGATTTAAAGCTCTGAGTGAAACTGCAACTGCTGTATACAGGCGTGTCGCTTACCACCAGGCACACGTCCTATTCGTCCCGTACGCCCCGTGCTCGTCTCGTCACTTAGTACCATAAAAAAAAAGATTGAGAGAGAATTGCATATTTCGCAGCCGTTTGGACATTAAGGACTGTCCACACACATCAGGGCCGTGCCCGGGACGTGGCCGGGGCGTGCTAGTTTGTATGAACTACGGGCCCGTCCCGGCGCCGGCCCGGACACGGACATGTGTGAACGAGTTCATACAAAATATACGCAACGATATTGTTTGAGCCCCTGACGGAGCACGGCCCGTCCACGTCCCGAGCACGGTCCGGAATGTGTGGATAGACCATAAAGCTTTTTCTGTCCGGCTAAATGTGATTCTTTGTGGTGAGTCTCCGAGACGCATCTATTGCATCTTTCCGGGTGTATTTGTCAAAACGTAACGTATGCCGTGTGGCGTTTCCGTAACATGAGGATAGAAATTTCGTCTTCTGTAGTTTTTTAATTTTGTCGCTTCGGTTTTCAGTTGAGGCAAGCAACTTTTAAAAGTCTTTGTATGCAGTATTATTTAATTTTAATAATAAAATAAAGATTTCACTGAAGCAAAATATCTAATATATACAATATTTAAATTAGGTACTTTCCCTACGTGTCCCCTAACCGTGTGTCGTTTTGTATACATTATACATTATATTTATTTTTATCGTTATTTTTCCCATAGTATATGTTTTAAATGTCCATTCACTTGAGTAGTGCTAATTTATTATCTCTGTCATTTAATTTAAATGTTTTCCTTCTTTTTATCATTTCATTTCAGTGGTTTCTGTGGACCAAAATAAGCCAATGATATGATAGCGAATACCTACGACGAGTTTATACACGAACATATTGCTGTTTGTGGTGACTTCAATGTTAACTTATTAGAAGATTCCAGTGCTAGCAGTAGGCTCATATCATTTTTCCAATGTTGTAATCTTGTGAATCTGTTCTTGGTGCCTACTAGAATAACTTCTACTACTGCCACTTGTTTAGACAACATTTATACTAACGCCGTACCTAGTAATAAATCTATTATAAATAAATTAACTTCTGATCACTGCGATCAATTGGCCACTTTTAATATAACTGTTTACAAAATGCCAAAAAAGGATATCACATGTGTTCCGATAAATAATGGTCGACTTAAAGCCTTTAGAAATAATGTAATGCTTAAACTAACTGACATTCCGTACGTTAACGATCCTAATAAATTGTATAATTCAGTTTTCAACATAGTGAAAAGTGAACGTGATAATGTTTTTAGGTCCATTTTGGACCATAACTATTAATAATTCATTGAAATTTAGTGATTGGGCGACTGTGGGAATTCACAAAAGTAGACAAAGGCTGTATGATCTTTACGATGAAAGGACTTATAACACTAGTAACAGTTTTAATGATTTTGTTAGGAAATATTCGAAAATGTTTAAACGTGTTTGTGTTGCAGTCAAAGCAATGTTTATATATAATAAAATAAAAAGCAGCGTGAATGTAGTAAAAACGACTTGGAATATTATAAACAGCGAAACTGGAAGGGTCAAACCTCGTAACTTAGATTTTCAACTAAGATTTAATGACAAAATTGTAAACACAGACGCAGAAGTTGCTAAAATATTTGAAATTTTTTTTACTAACATTCCAATTTTGACTACTAAGTCGTTAAATTCATCTCCCACCGCCGCTGAATCCTTTCTAAAAGAAAATAATGCAGTTAGTATCACTAATTTAAGGTTCCGTCATGTATTTCCAAACGATATTGTTAAAGCATTTAAGTCTATAAACATAAAAAATACTGCTGATCTTGATGGTCTTTCAGTCAGAGTAATTAATTCTATAGTTGATTGAATTACGCCTTACTTAGCCTGTGTCTTTAATAAATGTGTTGATGATGGTGTTTTTCCTGACCTCATGAAGCAAAGTAAAGTTATTCCACTTTTCAAATCTGGTAGTATTTCTGACCCAACCAATTTCAGACCTATATCAATACTACCAACTCTCAGTAAAATATTTGAAAAATTATTCTAAATCAGTGTGTGTACATTTTTATAGTAATAACTTAATGTCTCCTAAACAATTTGGTTTCACTCGGGGTTGCGCTACCACCGACGCTGGTGTCGAGTTTATTAATCATATATTTAATGCATGGGAAGTCTCACATGATGCTATTGGTGTATTCTGCGAACTTTCCAAGGTTTTTGATTGTGTGCACCATGATACACTGGTCAGGAAACTTCGCCATTATGGTGTGGCGGGACGTGATATCGACCTTCTTAAATCGTATTTGCGTGGGCACAGAGGGTCGATGTTAACGGTACGAGATCATCAGGGTCTGCAATTAGCATGGGTGTCCCTCAAGGTTCAATTCTAGGCCCATTTTTGTTTTTAGTTTATATTAATGACTTACCTAGCCTTATGGAGGGTATAAAACATGAGATAGTATTGTTTGCTGATATACTTCCTTATTATTTAAAGTTAAAAGGCACCAATGTTCCTACGACGATGTGAACAATGCTATATCTAAAGTAGTTGATTGGTTTGCTGTTAATAATCTACTTCTTAATGAGAAAAAAACAAATAGTGTGAAATTTACATTACCCAATGTTAGAGAGACGGTTACAAACATTGTAGTTAGAAACGAAAAATTGAATCTTGTGGATACAGTTGTATTTCTAGGTATAACGTTAGATGCTAAATTGCATTGGGGTCCCCATTTAAGTAAGTTATCAAAACGGCTCGGCTCTGCAGTGTACGCGATTAAAAAATAAGGAAAGTTTCAGACGTGGAAACCGCTAGATTGGTTTACTTCAGCTACTTTCACAGTCTAATCACATACGGCATTTTGCTTTGGGGTAATGCCGCCGATATCAATAGAATCTTTGTCCTGCAGAAACGTGCAGTTAGGGCAATTTACAATCTGGGCCCCAAAGTATCTTTGAGAGATAAGTTTAAGGAAATTAACATTCTTACACTAGCCTCACAGTACATTTATGAAAATGTAATTTATGTTAGAAGAAATAGTAATTTCTTTATGAAAAATAGTGACAGACATAACATTAAAACGAGGAATAAAAATAAACTAGCTTTTCTTGATAGTCGTCTTCACAAAGTCAAAAAATCATTTAAGGGGCAATGTATACGCTTCTATAACAAGATTCCGGTCGGTATAAAAAATTTGCCTTTCACGAAGTTTAAAACTATAGTGAAACAAAAACGTTATACTAAAGGTTATTATACAACTTCTGCGTACTTGGATGACAAAAATCCGTGATAGTAACCCGTTTAGCTCATACCTCCATGAGTCTCGATCTTTGATGTTTCAAATAAAAAAAATATTGTAAGTATTATTTACAAAGAGCAACCCCTGGAGTTTCTTGCTCATTCTTCTCAGGGGAATCTGCCTTACGAATGAGCGGTAGAGTTTAACCATTGTGACGATTTCAAGTGTAATAATGCTTACCTATGAAATAAAGATTATTTTGAATTTGAATTTGAATTTTAACATATAATCAGTAATTTAAAATTTAATAAATATCATGAGAAAATCTTGCACAATGCTATTCAAATTTTCAGCCGGTGTTCACTAATCTCGTACAACTAATTTTGATACAAGTATTTTATTCACTCACAATACATATTACTGTCCTATACAACCTCAAGAGGCTTTGGTTGATTTAGTGTAACGGTGAAAGAGTTGAATCACTTGGGAAAAAATATATAGTAAAATAGAGGATATACTTTGAATTACGGTGTGAAAACACGGTTCCTAAAAATTTTCACGATGGACAAAAAAATACAAATTTACCTGGAAATTTACAAGATTACAAGAAAAAATTACAAAAAAAATACAAGAAAACCGCTGTATTCAATAGGTACTAAACATATACCAATGATTTTTTTTTTAATATTAACTAAACTAAATAGAACACATATGTATAGTATACGGTATACATTTTTCCGAAGGCTTTCATTTCGCTTGTAAAAAAATAAATTTTGAAACAAAGCCGCTCGATCCTAGCAACATGAGCCGTATAAGTACGGGAAAATTAGAATTCGAGCTGAGCTGATGAACTCTTAAAAAAAGTCATATTTTTTTATAAAGATTTATGATATTTAGTATCCACACTTTAATAAAATGAGCCAAAGTTGACGTTAAAAAGCAAAGGAAACCTTAGACAAAATAGAATATACATAAGTTTTGTAATCATAGTTACAACTGCCAAAGTATTTCCTAAAACTGCGTGTTATAAACCATAGGATATATCATCCTATTTAGTTAATAGCTGGCATTCCCTAGAGGTGCAATAGATAATTACGACGGCGATGGGTGATATACGTAGGGGTGATTACTATTTCGAGGTTGTCGTGCCGTATTTACTTGATGTCCTTGTTTGCACTAGACATTATACGCTGCACGCGAATGTGTTAAATTATTTATTCTATTATCAGTTTATATTTTACAATATTTGATGACCACCGTGGTCGAGTGGTTTGCACACGGGTTTTCATGGTATCTCCATCTCTGAGGTCTCGGGTTTGATCCCCGGTCGGGTCAATGTAAAGAACTAACTTTTCTATATTGTCTCGAGTCTGTGTGTGTCTCGAGTGTGTGTGTTTGTGGTTTCTTGTGCGTTTTCGTGTACCTGGTGGTAAGCGACACGCCACTCAAAGCTTTAAATCGCAAAGGTCTGAGGGGTACTGCCACTGCGCTCGACACCCTGAGACATAAGTTGACAAGTCCTATGTGCCTGCAATTTTGCCAGCACCTTTACCCTTCGAAAGTGGAACGCAGTAATGTGTCCAATATTGCTCGGCAGCAAAAATAGGTAAGGTGGCAATACTTGGCTGGACGAACTATTTCACAAGGAGCTCTACTACTACTAAAACGGTCGGTGTTTCTGATTTCCATAACACAAGTGCTTTAGATAATTAATTTGGGATTAGAGCAAAGCATCTTGCCTAATATTTATTATTATTCAATATTGGTTTAAAGGAAAACTTTAGCACATATTACACTACCGCATCATTTAGTTGCAATATATTTTAATACGGTCAATTTATTTGACATAAATAGTGGATTTATGTAACGTATTCAAAATTGAGAGCGAATATCGCCGCCACACCGTTCCGTAATGCGACGATTGCAAGTCATCGCTTCCACCCAGCCGAATACACACATTATTGCTCATAATTAAGCACATATTATTGTTACTTGCATGAAAAACTATTGCAAAAAATTCTCTAATCCTTTACTATAAAAAGTTGTTAATTTTTTTCTGATTACATTGTCAAGTAGTAACATGGTGATCAGTAATATGGAATAAATGGAGTAAAAATAAATAGTAATAAAAATATAAACTATTCGGTTAAAGATTTACAGACAAGCTTAGCTTACCTTTCCAATCCAACCGCATAATTTCGGATATTCAGAATTTATCCGTATTTTGTCATAGAGATGAACTCTATAATAAAATTTTAGATTACCGTTAACAAAGTAAAGATCTCTGGATGAAATGGAAAGCATCAAAAGGACGCGAATGAGTTTGAATCGTTTTTTTTCTAGCTCTTACAGTCTTAAAGCCATTAATGTTCTATAACAGCTTAAGATTCGACACTGAAGCAAATCAGTAAGAGGTTTGAACTTTGCTTCACATTCTTGAGTTCTAAAATGTTTCGTTGTTTCAGTTGTACAACTTTTTCAACGCCCTGCTCAGTCACATTAGGGACACCAGTGGGCGGCTTTCCTCTGAAAGAACCTCACGAACAGCTTCCATCCGTAAGTCATTTCAAAAACACTCCGGGACTGTCCTCGTAATTACATTGTGACTTTAGTAAGCAGCATGATCCTTCTGACAACAAGGTTGATGCCAAGAAAATCGTTGTCTATCTGCTATCTTCGAATTTAATTACAGTTTTTGCATAAATTTAAACAGACACTGTCATTTACCGATCATCATTAAGTAAGGTCTAAAAATAAATTAGAATACGATCGCGTATTTACTTACTAAGAAATATTTACCGACTATGTTGCTAAGTACTAAATATTGTATCCGAATAGTACGACGTACTTACATACATGTATGTATAGACGTTATAAGATTTCTGTGTAATGCACATATTTTGGTTAAATATATTTGTAATATCTATTAAAATTTTATTTGGTTTTTCCTATTCAGATGTTAATGGAATAAATTTCAATATCTTTATTACATTCATTTTCGTAAACGAGTATAATGTGATTTGTGAGAAAAATATACACAAACACTTTCAGAATAAATGATATGTGTCCTAGAAAAAAATTACTGCGAGCTTTCTCATTTGCAGTTTACTCAGGAGAAATTTAATTATGTGAAGCTTCATTCCTTTCTCATTGGCCTCCACAAGTAGTGTTCTTGTGTTTTTCTGTTTGTTTTAAACAGTGTACAGCACGCTATTGCGGTATACCTTATATATGTCTCGCGCTGTATAATTCATTTACCTGCAATGAACTGACCTTTCCTACATTGCAGTTAGAAGTAGGTGTGTTATTCTTGGCACGTCACTCTACATTTTGCTAATACATCCATTAAACGCAAGGCGTTTTAACCCTGATATGAAATGATGAAAATCGTTAATTGTGTTAAAATTTTACTTTTAGACGCAGTTCGTGCTGCTAAAGAAAAAGTAGGGTCGCTTAAATTGAACAGTAATCTCATTTCAGGAATTTCTCTCGTCTGTCCACCTTTTTCTACTCATTTCAAGGCGTATGATGAAAACTGTCGTTCTTTGAATTGCATAACAAATTACACCGGACATTTTGCATTCTAATTTGAACTTAAAATCTAGCTTATTCTAATTGCAATTCCGTTTCAAAGTTATCTTTACAAGCAGTAAAATTAACGTAATTTTGCAGTGGAGCAAGTATTTTCCGAGGAGTCTGATGAAGGAGGAGGCGTCGATGAGACGGCTCCCCCGAAGCCATCTCGTGGCCCTGAAATAGAGTTCCCTCTTCAGAGGAAAGACATCGATTTACTTATTGAGACATTCAGGAAGAAAAAGGTACTTTAATTCGTTGTAAAATAGTAAGTATAAATGTTGACAAAATATTAGAAAAAACGCTGGATTTTTGCATTACTTTCTCATTATCATCAATTTATTGACTAGAAGATATTCTAGACTAAATTCTCTGATACTAAACTTAACTTAAAAGTATTCAGTGAGAGATGCGCATTAACTTTTTAGATTCGATTGATTTCCACTTTCCGTTTTCGTATGAGTCAACTTTTTATTTCTTTAAACTGTTGACAACTTTCTACAGAGACTGTAATGAAGTTCGTTATATAATTCAGTGCAACGATGTTCGTACATTCCTGTCTAGTAAAATGTTTATGAATCTAATAAAATATTTTTGAGTAAAGTAAGTCGTCTCCTTTACTGTACCTTTTTGTAACGCATACTTGGCACGTACGAGTAAATACGAGTTACTTCTATTATTTGCGTGTTATAAGTCAGTAATGGTAATAAAAATTACGTACTATTCACGGAGGTTTTTGCGTTATTCTAAAAAGTTTAACGGCTGAAAGTATTACAAAAATCAATATCGTTTTAAAAACTGGAAATGGAGAGTTTATATTTTTTTAGCCTATTGTGTCCTAGTGCTGAGCAAAGGTCTCCCCAAAATCATCCACTGTTCCCTTTGTCTTTGGCGATCTCCCACCATTCCCTCTTAAACTCATATATATTATATGACTATTTCTCAAAATACGTAACGAAAAGGACGTTGCGAATTACTACAAAAAATTTAGATATTAAGCTTATGATAGATTGGCACAATATAATTGATTTAATCACACTTTTTATTGCATTGCATTCTCTTTGCATCGTCATGAGAAATTACTGTTGAATTACCTACTAATGAGAAGAGACTGCAGTACTAATTAATATGTTTTAATTTATTATAATTTCTATTAATAATTAATAATAAATTAAACTTAATAAAGATTCATTCAATAAAATAATTTGTAAAACTTAATGTAGCGTAAATTGGAATGTTTTCTTTGTAAAATTAAAAATAAGGTCTTTAATTAATAACTATTGTAACTATAGTAAAAAATTGGGTGGTTTGCATCAATATTAGACATAACTGGTTGAAGACTGTACCACCTCAGTCAACCGTGACCATGGGACCTGTAAAGGGCCCGAAACGTCGGTTTGTTTGAAAAAACAAATATACGCGATTTAAATCTGGAAAAATAGTTTCATTTCCTATACAGAAACTAATTCAATCAAGGTATATTGTACAAAATATTTCGTATTTTATGAAGTGACAAACACTTGAGGCAAGGGGGCGGCAATTTCTTTTTTGTATGAACAGTAAATAACATTGTTATGAAAAAGTTAAAATAATTAATGGAATAATGGAAGATTGCACTTTCCGTTCCTCATGGTATTGGAAACTAAAGTGTTTTTCTTTAAAATTTTCCTATTTATTTTTATATGACTAAATAACAACATAGTATTTTTGTTTACTATTTCGGGACACATCCCCTTTTTTTGTAAAAGTTTACATATTTTGACAAATAGTCATATTTATATTACGTAAACTTTCTTTTGGTAAAGAACCAAATTTTGTAGGTCGCGTACCTATATTTGTATATTCAAACAAGCCGACGTGTCGGGCCATATACAATAAATAATAATAATAATAACGCACACACTCAACATAGCCCCGCACTAGGGAAACCCTGTGTCGCGGGTGCCATGGACACACACATAGACAACCACAAATTACACCCAAACTCACGAGAGAAATAATTGTAGGCCATACAAATATTTCTCCCGGCCCGGGAATCGAACCTGGGACCTCTGCGTGGCAGTCCGGTATGGTAACCGTTCGGCCACGGAGGCATTTGAAGTCAGACAAGTCTCATGGTCATAGTCAGCCGTGACCTGTAAAGGGTCCGAAATGTTAGTATGTTTGAAAAATAAAAAACAAATATACATTATTTAGATTCGAACAAATAGTACCTATGTGTAACAATTGCGAAAACTCTATATTCTTTTAGGTCTTACTAAAGTGGGTTTTCTTTTCATGTTATTAACTAGACTTTAAATTACTGTATCTTTTACAGCATCGACTACAACCTAAGCACGTGGCGCGGATTTTGAAGGAAGCCACCCAAGTTCTGAAAAGACTACCTAACATTAACGTGGCAACTACATCGATCTCAAGCCAGATTACCGTTTGCGGTGACTTACATGGAAAACTCGATGATCTGCTAGTTATTTTCCATAAGGTCAGTTCATACTTCAGTCCGTTGTGAGAAAATTGTTTAGTAACTAGTAGTAAGCGTGACTTAGGTGACTGCCATTCATTATTGAAATCGGGTCATTCATCAAGTGTAGTTCTGTACACAGTAAGTTAGTGGAGTTCTGTAAACTACAGTTTCATATGTGTATGGTATTCATACCCTATAAGTAATGATATGACGCGGCGTACCTTACAGTTACAAGTTTGACGTCGTCGCTTTTCCTGGCACCTGCAAACTAAAGAATTTAAGAATACGATACGATACGAATTTAATACAAATTTTATCTTTCTTTTATAATCTTTTTTTATAAACATGATAATAACGCATTTCGCAATAAACTTTGATTTCACGACTCCCGTAGGAAAAGAAGTCAAAGCACGTTTGTAACGCATCAGTGGTTTTTCTATCTGAAATAAGAATATGACATTGAAAGAGTAATTCGAAAGAATTGGCCTTGTGCAGAAGCTATTTCAAATGTCACGGAAAAAAGCGCTTAAAACAAATAAATTCTAATTCCATACCCTAAAGTTCCTTCGGTAGGTGTATCATTTGTGTATATTTTCTTTGTCCATGGAGTAACTATAATATATTAAATATTTAATATTTCTTTTTACTTATTCACGTTACGTCGTGTTAATTTAAAGGCTGGACTCTTATAAATATTGCGCTGTGCGCTGCGGGAAGGTTTGTTAGTAAGGTTTCTTTGGCTTTATTTTGGTGTGTGTTCATTAAAGGTAGTTTTGACGTCAAGAGAGCGTTGGAGGGTTCCGCGAGGTTGGTAAACACAATAGGGAGTGGCGCACGCGTCATCTAATTGTGCCGATTGCCCGCCGGCCGCTCGGCCACTGTTTGATTGATAGACCGCCTGTTACGCCGGACGACCTCGTTAATTTGTACAAGTTTTCTTTCCTGCTGTTAGTTCCCGCAATATACAAGCCGAGATGGGCTGGAAGAACTTTGACGTCCATCATTGATGAATATATTTTACCTACGTATTATATCCAATATATTTTTTGATTGATACTCAAGTATTGTATTGTTCATGTAAGTAAACATAAAAATGTGAAATGCGGTAACATTTTATAGAAAAAACCTCGAAAAAGATCTCGTTTTAGCCATATTGTAGTTTCATGATTCATTATATTAATGTGTAGAAATTAGCTGTTATATCTTTTCCAGAACTCACCTTTTTTAATTCCTTAACAAGTAGATCACATTGAAAACTGTGTTTTTCAAAAATTTACGTACAGTCAGGCCCTTTTGTATGAAAATTTACGAATTTTTCAGTCATTTTTAAACTATAACTGATTTAGTTTTTGTATCTACTGAATTTGACTTGATGGTATTTCGCTTTCCCTCGTTGAATTTCATTAGTTAATATTCAATAGAGATCAAACTTCCGTTGGTGGTACACGCTCACAGAACAGGAACCCTAAGGTAGACAATAAACTTATGTAAGTTATATTCAAATCGTAACCAGATGCTTTCTCACCTTTATGATATGCCCTTATTCTCTTAATAGAACCAGGAGATTTATAACGCTTATTTATCCTTATAATATGGCGAGATAAGAGAACTAAATAGAACAAAGAATTATTAGATTGTTTTTGAATTCATAGCTACACTTTTTCTTTCCTTCTCTTCGATTTTATTGTGTTGGATAAAATTTATGTGAGATAAATTTATGATATTAATAATTGTAAAAACTTTTTATAAAACGACAAAATAAGAATGGCACGTTTATTATTAGTTGCCTACGCATTCTTGCCATTAGCACAGAAGTGTCGTTTTATTTTACGAGTTTTTAGCGTAAGGAGCTCGTAAAACTCTGCCAAAAGACAGTGACCGTAAAGCGGGTGGCCGTACAGTTTCCTCCATAAACGTGTCGTCTCTTTACTGCAGCTTGTACACGTAATGTCTCACAGCTCTCACAGAGCCTCATTCGACTGTGAAGAACAATCTTGAAATACATATATCTCTCATGAGCTTGTTTAAATCGGTGTGGTATATTAAAACATAATTTTAAATAAAAAGGGATATTTAGCGGATTATGCAATGCTTTGATTGTACAGGCGAATTTGTTTAAATTTATATTTTTCGACTTTATGAGATAAGGTTTAAATGGAGCTACTACAAGTCTTTATTAACTCGGTATTTCTCTCTATGTACAGAATGAAAAGTTTTGTGTAGTAAATATAAAACTAAAGATAACGGCTCCAGTCTGTTTTCCACTTTGCATTCCCGGTTAGACGTGAAGTACGAAGTTGTGAAATTTCCTTATCCGTTGTTGTAACAGCAATGTTTTAAAGTATTCGTGTGGTAAACTGAAACAAGTTATTTGTGTGTATAAATATCTTGTATTCTTGTGGTCTATAAATATCTGAAAATAGTGAAGTATGGGTTTCTTAATTTCGTGCTAGCGTACTTCGACCCTGCTCTTAGTATTAGATCGTTCCGTCTGTGGTTACTAGTAATTACAGAGAGCGCACGCGGTGTAAGATCATATCGGCAAAGGATACCGATTGTGTAACACACAGTTGAGTAGTATCGATTCCCGGCGTACATTACGTAAGCGACCTTGGCTGCGGTCGTATAAGTTGCAGTTATAAGGATTCTTAAAATGCGTTGATTGTAATAGGCAACATTTCCATTGTTCATGAAGTTAAAGGGTTTCGCAACAGGTTTGTGGAACAAAGTTTTGTTACTTTTGAGATTCTTGATTTCTTTATATTTCATTGGACTAAAAACACCGCAGTACTGCAATGCGACATCCGCTCCTGGTAGGAAAATCCATAACACCTAGTATCTGTTATAACGACAATATTAGAATAAAATTACACGACCGCTTCACGGAAATATTTTAAACACGTCTTAATTATGCAGTTTTGGCAGATGGTAAATCTGCAAGCGAGTAGGTCAACTTCCCTCCGTTCATCCGTTTATATTTTGAATATCGTAACGTCAAATTTATTTGGTGTACGTGCTTACAACAAGGATTTTGTTAAACTTAGAAAATTTATCGAGTTCTTAGGTTTTCGCGATTGTTACACACAGGAAATGAAACTATTTTTCCGGATTTAAATCGCGTATATTTGTTTTTTCAAACAAACTGACGTTTCGGGAACTTTACAGGTCCCATGGTCACGGTTGACTGTAAACTCAACAAATATTCGCGATTTAAATCTGGAAAAATAGTTTCATTTCCTCAGAAAATTTATCACTACACAATTTTTTTCAGTATTATAGAAAACATTGCAAGAGGTCTACCTTTCTAATCGATCAGTATCGATCCTCTAGGATCACTATTTTAATATTCTTAAATTGAACCTGAAACCTTTTCCTTTTTTAACCGACTTTAAAAAAAGGAGGTAGTTTTCAATTCGTCTGTAAGTTTTTTTTGTATGTATGTTACGCGATAACTGCGCCATTTGTGAACCGATTTTGATGATTCTTTTTTGTTGGAAAGAGGGTACCTCAGAAGTGGTCCCATTTAAATTGGAAGAAAATATTCCACCTCTAAGGGTGGTAAACTAGGGGATGAATGACTTGTGAGGTCGGTTTTTTAGCCGGAGGTTAGGTTGTATATTTTAGGTTAGTCGAGTTTTTAATAATTTATTACATTATGCAGAACGGTCTGCCTTCGCCCGAAAACCCATACATATTCAATGGAGACTTCGTGGACCGTGGCAAGAAGGGCCTGGAAGTCTTATTGCTGCTGCTGGCTTGCATGTTGGCTTTTCCTGGCGGCGTGTACCTAAACCGAGGAAACCACGAAGATCTCATTATGAATTCTAGGTGAGCAAGTACTCGACATGTAGCATCGTATTATACAGCTATGTAGCAGTTTATAGTATTCTCTAGAGGCTATAACATAACCGTGAACTGTTATGATGGCTTATAAAGTAAATGCAGATTGCAATATGGTAGATATTAAAAAGCATTATTTTGTTCTGTAATCTAAGGGTCGTATTCCAGAACTCTACTTAATACTCGAGTCACGATTTGAGTATGATTCAAAGCACTAGAAACCACACTCAAGTCCTTGCCATTAGGGTGGTATTTCCAGTACTTGAAATCATATTCAAGTCTGCTCAAAACCTGACTTGAGCATTGAGTAGAGTTCTGGAATACGACCCTAAAACTTGATCATTATAAAGAAAATTGAAGCATAATCTTAAATGCATCTTAGTTTACTTTGCTTTTCCAGTTAATGTTAATAACTTTTAGTAGGTACTTTGAGGTTAAATGCAGTAAATGTCGTTTTTACTTAGTTTAGTAGTAGTTTAGATTTCCAATTAATAATATTCAGAATAGGAAAATGTTTTAGGCTGTACATCATGTATAAATGGCTTTTGCTTACATTTTTACAGATACGGCTTTATAAGGGAGGTTCATCAGAAATATAAGGTAAGAATATTATTACCTCGAGTACCGTTAAAGTCTTATTATTCAAGAAATTAAAACGAAGTGATCAAAATGATTTATGCGATTTGTTACTTATTGCATGAAACCTATTATCTGTCCGATACTTTTAAGTGAAACTTTATAAACTTAATTTAGGTTAACATATATATCAAACGTCTGAGTGTGACATAGGTGACGACTGCAACGACTTCCTATCTATAAATAGTGCAGAAACTCGAAGAGATTGATTTTATGTTAGAACTTTCATGATACCTTGCACAGAGATTTTAATTAAAAAATATCTAAGCTAAACTCGTCTCATTAATGGTCTGAATTTATATAGAGAGGTTTTAAAAAAATATGTGGTTTATTTCCTGTTTAGTAAGGAAATGTGCTCTAGCATTATTTTGATCATTATTCTGATTTTATAATTGTATTTTGTGTAAATATGGGACTACATTCCTGAAATAAAAATTATTATTATTTAAAAAAATATTATTATTATATTTGATCTGTGGTATTTAATGTGAAATGCTTATGACGATACATTCAGAAAATTTTAAACTTTGCCGATATGAACTGATCTATAGTCGACCACGTGTCATTCATGACATCCTTAATGGCTTTGCGCCAGCTAAATTACACGGGTAATTAAGCTCGTCACATATGTAACTTATTATTCTTACTGTACATACGTACGTACTAAATTTGCTTAGCTTTATGTATCTACGGTATCGTTTCTCTTAATTTGTTGTTAATTTGTTTTAATCAGCATAATGCAGAGCGTCTGCTAAAACTAATCGAGGGTGTATACCGCTGGCTACCGCTCGGCACCATCATCAACAATCGTGTCTTCGTCGTCCACGGTGGAATCTCCGACACCACCGATTTGGATATGATACGCAGCCTTGATCGGGATAAGGTATATAAACGTTGACGACGCAATTTGTACTCATTTACAGGGATATCGATCAACTGAATGTATTAAAAGTGTCTATCCTTCTACCCACATCGAAAACAATTGATTCGTTACATCAATGAAAAGTGCGGTCTTGTGATACTAATTTATCCGGATCAGTGAATATATTTTTTACGTGAGTGTGCCGTGTTATTTGTATGGGACAGTAGAGAGAGTTTTTATGAGTTCATCCAGGGAAATACTGCCACGTGGCACTTATTTCTCTTGCCAAGCAGTAATGTGAGCATTCGGTTTTGAAGCGTAAGGGTGCTGGTGAAATTTCAGGCACATGGACCTTGTCAACTTATGTCTCAGGGTGACGGGCGCAGTGGCAGTGCCCCCTCAGATCTTTGTGATTTAAAGCTCTAAGTGGCACTGCAACTGTTATGGACAGACGTGTCGCTTATTACCAGTCGTACGACTTGTTCGTTCCGTTACTTGATATCTTAAAAAAAAGTTTGTACCTCAATTATGATGATATTACAAATTGCAACTCCGCTGAATTGCTGAGAACTTATTACAATGAACTTTTCCAGTACGTTTCCCTTCTCCGGCCGCCAGTGACTGAGAGCACAGCTCCTGGCGCCGAAGTGATCGACAAAGTGGAATGGAAACAGGTTAGTCGCCTCGCATACAGGTCACTTAGTTAATCATTCACGATTCACTTTCAGGTAATATCGACCGCTGCTGCCGGCACATTGACTGACTGTACCTGGCACTTATTGTTTGTTTCTTGTGATATAACATATACAAATAATTTTATTTAGATTTAGGTCTTCGTCTTTCCGAATAAGTGCTTTTTACTATATATTGCGCTTGCTAAGTCCACCAACTCTGCGGCAAATGTTCATATTAAAGTTTTGAGCTCGGGATATAACTCTCAACGAGTATTTTAATGACTTTAGGGCAAGTTGTGCTAGTGTTATAATCTTCCACGATGATATGCTAGCGTGAAGTGATTAAATATCCTCCGGTAATGAATACAGTGGATCTTAAACGTTTATGGAAGGTCCAATCAGTTGTATTCATTGCTGCCTGGGAGCTCGTTAGGGACTGTTCGTAAGAATTAACTATAGTAATATCCCGACGAGTAACTGGGTAATGTCGGGTTCTGTTCAAGCACTAACACAATTTTCAAACAGTTAGTCTGGAATTTAGTGGTTTATTAAACTGTTTCGTCGTACATTCTTAACGCCTCAATCTATTTAATGTGAATGCACAGAATACTATTTCAAATAAATTTAAAATTTCGTAATCCGGATCATAACTTACTAGATTTACATATGCTGGATCTCTAATGTTTTATTTTTTCATGTACAGAAAAGTTGTCCTCGACATGTTTAAACATTGGGCCGTTTACATAAAGTAATAGGTGTATACTGAATTATCATTGTTCCCTTTGGATTCGAAACAAATTTTCCAACTGCCATCCTTGGTATAATATAATTTGTCGAGGCCGGACCCCCCGGAGTCAAGCTTATAACTATCCACAATGTACTTACACCTCGACCGTGACATCAAGTTTTTTTTCCCCAGGGAGAATTCTTGTCACTCATTCATCATAAACTTTATTTGATTTCTGTTCCTATCAACTTAAAATCGATACCTATTATAGACAGTGACCAAGTTTACGTACCTATATGTAACAGCGTACACTTTTTTTAACCTATTAAAAAGGAGGAAGAGGTTCTCAATTCGAATGTATTTCTTTTGTCTATGTTACGCGATTACTCTGACATTTTGTGACCCGATTTCTATAATTTTTTTGTTGGAAAGGAATACGTACCTCTGTAGTGATCCCATTCAAATTTGAATAAAATATTCCATCTCTAAGGGTGGCATTTTAGGGGATAGATCCGATTCATTGTATTTTACCCACTTTCAGTTAACCTCTCCTTTGAGTTAGGATTTTTTATTATAAAAAAAAAATATTTATATTAATCAGAACAGACTAACGTCCACGGCAACGGACTATCTTTATTACGGTGTAATTTCATGAAAATAATTTCGTTTCGTTTTCGTACAAAAGGTTTTTGCATGTCCGAATGTTGTTTCTATTAAATTCGTAATGGGGTATGATGCTATGAGTCATAGCGTGTCAGCATATTTGCATAAATATACTTATATGTAAGTGCTTATGAAATACAGGCTGATACTAGTACATAAGTGCACCTTCAGAAAAATACTTATTCATCACAACATAATTATTCTTTTTTTTTTAAAGTCAAGTTATGTTTGAAAACAATTTCGTAACATACCATCACAAAAAGGCGTGTTGTTAAGGCGAGTTACCGGTGGAGAAGCGGGAAAAGTTGTGTTGCTTGATCGAATGGTTTACGTATTTATTATTAAATGATGGTCTTACAAAAATATACAATACATTTAAGGATATTGCCTAAAGAGTGTGCTAATTCGTTACGCGATAGGATGTACTTTATCTGGATGTGTAATGAAAAATATAATAACAAATGATCTATTTTCACTTGGTATAAACAACATTTGTTATAATTTATAAGGATATAATCTAATCACTCATTGAATATTATAATCAATAAGAGGTATAACAACAAATAATTTATAATTTCAATGTGTATAATAAACCTTCAGTATAACGAACATTAGAGATAATGATTAGGTAACGTCATGACTAATGGTCCAAGTATTACTAGTTATATATAATATATCGCATTATTTCGTTTTACATTGTTATCAAAAACAATTTAATTTTACAAGTTTAATTGCAATATCAAAAAATAATACACATCAACTCATGTCCACCTAAAATAACGTTTTCATACCAACAATAGGATTTCTCATCGAAATACCTACTGATTTCACTTCATCCGAACATATACTCCTGAAAACAGAGCTAAAATAAAAGTTGGAAACAAATTATTTGAGATTGAAATATGTAACTTTGTATTTAATTTTTATATGGAGATAGTTCTCTTTAAATACTACAGATGGCCTGCTAAATTTTGTCTTTCAGCTGAAGCCTGAAGTTATTAAATTCGTATTTATACCAAAATTTGAAAATTGCCCAGCGGTTTAACGACACGCCGCGCCGGCCGCTGCTGCCTGCATTAGTCGCCATCGGTCGTTTATCGACGACGGATCTGTGTTAAATTTTCTCAGCCTGTTCTTATTTTGCCAAACCTAGCGATTGTAGCGAGACCCCACACCCCACCTACTAAAATATAGGCACGCGTTGAAATACCTCGCTTTAAAATGGAGCAAATAAAGTAAAAAAGTGGAACTTTTAGGTTTATGGAATGTCACGATGTTTGACCACCATGATATTCATTATTTTTGTGAAATTACACCACTACTCTAATAAATATTAATACAAAGATCGAACACTAAAAAATCTTTCGATCCGGGTGGATTCAATAAACTTTAAAATTACAATTATTAAAGCGACTTGGGTAATTGTAAAGGTACCAGGTTGTAGGTAAGGCTGAGTGAAGAAAACATTTCACAGATTTCTCACCAATGGCCCTACGGCAAAAAAGTCGTTAAAACAAAAAACAAAGATCTGCAACAAGCACACAGAACAATTCGTAAGGTTTGCTGGTTCGTTCCGTGGCTTGGTTGGCATAGAGTCTGGCACGGTTTGCTGGAAGACGCTGGTTCGAATCCAGCTGGGTCATAGGATTTTTCTTATTGGTCGATTTTTGTTTTAATAAAAACTGGACGTTAAAAATTTATCTCTCCTAGGCAAAGACTTCAATGGATGTCCTAGGTATACAACATCACATAATTTACTGGTTGATTTGTTTAGGAAGGTAAAGTATTCATAATATTGTTCGTACTCTGTCCCGTTCATTGTAGGTGATATTCAAAATCCCCTTCGAGGTAATAAAAAACCTGTCTAAATGAATATGACAATAATGGTAACTCATAGACTCAATTAAAATATTGAAAAGTTCGTTGTTATTTACGAAACAAATTTGATGGATATTTTATAAAAGCTTAGGAATCCACCGTCTAGATAACGAAATGGTGTTTAGGTGACTTTAAAAGGATTTCACTTTAGGTATAAAGTTAGACGCTTTGTTATTACGTAAATTGTTTCCGTTTTACTCAGTAGAAGTATCTTAAGTGACAGAATAAAATAAACCCTCGAGCACGACAGTTTCTTTTGAAATTTTTGTTTTAAAATGATTTCATAGTGCTAGCTTTAATTAATTACATTAACTTTTGTATTCTTTTTTTCATCGTTATCATTACTATATTAACTAATTTACTCTTTTGGAAAAGTCCTTTAAAGATAAGGACACCTGTATGAAATAGCTGCAATATAAACTTTGTGGTCTCACAATTTTATTTGCATATTTGGGGCATCCTCGTGTAGAGATTGTAAGCCAAATCGATACGTCTTCTTGTACGTATGACTGGTAGCAGTAGGTATATATAAACGTTTGTTTTGACGCGATTGTGCGATATCTTTTAGAAACGAGAAGTCAGTTTTCATTCATTCTAAAATTTTGATTTCACAAAGCTCATCTTGATATGTGTCAAAAATTACTACAGACCGACTGACTGTTAAGGTCTGCACAGAGGAAGCCGGCAGAGACGATTATTTGTGACACGCACCCATGTCATTCCAGTCCCACGTCACGTCACACGCCAAACGCAGTCTCATTAGGCGCAACTGATAGGCATCAGCCCTCCGCGTAATCATGGCTCGATCTAACTAAAACGATGTTCAATTACCACTTCAAGTTTGGAGGTTTTATCTTTCTTTTTCCAAATCAAGTTTATGCATTTGGTTACGTAAAAATTGTGCTTCCTAAACAGATAATATAAAGAATGATAAGAATCACTTTTGTTTACGAAAGAAAGAAACCTAAAAACCTTAGACACCTCTGTTTTGAATAAAAGAATATAATAATAAGCATTAAGAGTAAGTTTATGTTTGTTTGGCATTCATTAATCATCGTGCGCGAGACTTTACCAACACAAGAGCCGTGATAAATGATAGCGAATTCATGAGTTGTAGATTTCGATGAAACGCTAGCTAAAAGTCAATACGGTTGCGGACAGACGCATCATTTCATAGAATTGGATACGACTAACAGTGTCGGTAATTGGAAATTCCTCTCTTTCACATGCGGTGAAGGCGAATGAATGTGATCTCTATTTTGATTTCATCTGCTGTGGCTGATGTGTGGAATAAGTCGACAATATACGAATTTGACTCGTCAAAGATTCGCCCATGAATATTATATTGATGATAATCTCAGTACAGAGTACTAAAAAAACCGACCTCAAAAGTACGTGGAATTACGTCTATTTGCTAAGTTTTATTGAAATATCCCCTAGTTTGCCACTATACAGGACTTGACACTGGAGATAATAAAAATAGGTTCTCACTACGACACTACACAAAGTATATTGAGAGAAAAACGCCTTGAATTGGAGAAATAGCAAAATCAACCATTAAAGTAATTGCTCCTGAATTAAAGTTAGGCGCTATTTATAAAAATGAATCTTCATGCGTGAACAGTCACCCTTCGCCCCTTCGAGGTGGATGATTTTCTTCAAAATGAAATGGGACCACTATGGAAGTACCACCTTTCCAACAAAAAAAAGAATCATGAAAATAGGTTCACAAATACCGGAGTTATCGCATAACATACATACAAAAAAAAGAACATACAGTCGAATTGAGAACCTCCTCCTTTTTTGAAGTCGGTTAAAAATTGTTAATAAAAGTAGAAATATGTTTAAGGGTCCATCAAATTAGACCCTTATAGAAGCTCTGCAGTGCTGTAGCCGCAACACTAATTTTCATACAATATTTTAGAAGCGCCACTGTCGTGACACGCGCGCGCCACTTTTGCAGTCACAATGAGTGAACTAATAAAAATTACTGAAGCGCTACAGACGCGCGGCTGCGGCACCACAGTCGCACTTCTAGAGCGCTTCTCCAAGCGTCTAATATGAAGGCGCGCTTACGCTACAAAATTAAGTGTAATAAATTTATGTACAATGAATACTAGTCATTAGTACCTGTACGAAAACCTGCAAAACCCTTAATCAATATTTTGAGTAATTTTGTAAGTACATACTTCAGGAGAGTTCATAACTTGGCTCTTTCGGTCCATCTTAGTGAGACTTAGCATAGAAGCGCAGAGATAAAACGAAAAATTAAATTTGTTTTTGTTTATCTTACTTATTCAATTAAAATTAAGCATTCAATTAAAATTAATTAAAACACTGTAAGAGGACCCAATTTCGAATACGGAATACGGCATAAGGCTGTAGCACTGAGTCATTTCAAAGCACGAGATACTAATTATCGCGTGTTGTTACTATAAAGGTCGAAAGAAGAACCTGCTTGTTGTTGAAGTTGATGTCGAAAAAAAATTAAAAAATACGTGAAGTGGGCCGCAATGGGACCATGCCTTAAATCTCGTTAGCCTTAGAAGAAACCCGTGCTTAGCAGACGTTCTTCTATAAGACAAGAGTTGATGTAGACTGCACATTTAAATTATTAATGAACATTTGATATGAATGAAAAATTAAGTAAATATATGACACCGTCCTCGTTCAAAAGTTCAATAAACATTTTTTTAGAACGTTATTTAACTTTTAAATTCTTAAAGCATGAAAATTGGAAACAAATGTCTTTCATTCCAACCCATTTTGCATATTTGAAACTTAATTTTCCGTTATCCCGTTTGATTGATAAGATTCGACATCGGATGGACGACTGATGATCTACATTGTTCAATGGTTCATCCCTTGTCAGGAAAATGTGCTGATTAATACATTTTATAACTGTTCTGCAATGTAAAAAATGTGAAAAGTATCGACTTTTGAATTTTTGACACCTATCATATTACAATTCAGGTTTAATTGTATCTACTATCTAGGTACCTTTGTATGCGCGTTTTGTTTTTTAAGGTTTACATTATCTTAATTTTTATTACGGTGTTTTAGGTATTCGACATCCTATGGTCAGACCCTCAGAGTACGAGCGGCTGCGTGGCGAATGCTCTTCGAGGAGCTGGCACCTACTTTGGCCCTGATGTTACAGCCTCCTTCCTGAGGAAGACCAAGCTCAGCTTTTTGGTGCGCAGCCACGAGTGCAAGCCTGGTGGATATGAACTACTTCATAATGGAAACGTAAATTTAATAGTCATATTTTAGCTCCACCACCAAAGTGGAGATTTGGTAGTAGACTTTAGAGTCAACGGCTTAGCGGTGGCAACCGTTAGTTGTACAATCCATAACGGGAACTGTGAGCGTGCCAACAGTTCCGGTACCTATCTGCACAATAGGGAGGGTGCTGTATATGCACACGGGGCAGTTAACCCGAGGCACTAGCCATTTGAGAGCCGGATGAAGTCCATGATAACGGTCTGTGACAACCCTGTCCACAGGCTCATCTGGGGTCAAGGCCTAAACTTATAAGGTTCGTGTGCTCACGCAGGCAGTGCTCTTCCCTTATAACCAAGAGGTTGTTTGGGAGGATAACTGTAATCAAAATTTAAGTAGACAGATAAGGGGCTGTCCTATTTTACTTCACACGCAGATACGATAGCAACCATTTTTTTTATTAATGTCTACCTGTCACGTATCTCAGAGCCTATTTTCTTTTTTATTTGTTCCTCACGTAGGTGGTGACTATATTCTCCGCATCCAACTACTACGAAATTGGTTCCAACAAAGGAGCTTATCTGAAGCTGTGTGGGAATTCATTAGACCGCCAGTTCGTGCAATATACCGCGGCGGTGTCTCGTACTCGGCGGCTAACCTTTCGCCAGAGGGTCGGTTTGGTGGAGTCCTCTGCTATGAGGGAGCTCCATAATCAGATCTTAATGGCGCGTAGATACCTAGAAGCCACTTTTCGCAGCATGGATGTTGATCAAAGTGGTTCGTATATACAAAATTTATATTCGGTTTTGTGATAATTTTGATGATACCATCTTCGACAAATTCTATTATCCCTTTCTTTCACCAAATTAACTTACAGATAAATGTTATTGTATAATATTATTATGCTCTAAAATGACGTCATAGTTTCGAATTCGCACTAGCAAGTCAATTACAGGGTCTATATTGAAGCGTATTGTCGGTGCGGTTCTCTGAACGTCTCCACCACGTCGATATTATACAATTTAATTTCCTGGCATTCTATTCAATTCTCGGCTTAATATTTGAACTCGCTAAGTTAACATACAACTCAGAAATGGGAAATCGGAGACGAGCTTACCGTAAAGTTGAGCACTTATATTAATTCCATTAAAGTACATATTCAAGATTACGGCTTTGAAAAGATTTACACATTTCGACTCATTAATTCTTGTGAGCAGTCGTATCCATTGGGGCTTTTACTCGGGAACCGTTTCAAAGCGAAGTCCTTGGAGATTTTCTAAAGCAAATTATGACTCATTTGTCATGGTGATCTTTAGTACTTAGGATACGTCACGCCCCATTAATCAAGTGACAGTTGATAATTTGGTTAAGTGGATTTAGTGGTTTTCGTACCCATAATTTTCAAAACTCATCCTTTAAAATTTACTTAAAACCAAATTAGTAGCCTAATGAGATACTTATTAAAAGTTTGGTTATGTTGTGATTATGGTATTCATATTTATTTTTTTGTTCAGGTTACATTACTGTCAGTGAATGGTGTCAGGCCATGGAAGAGACAACTCATCTCGGGTTGCCGTGGAGAATGTTGAAGGACAAACTTGTTCACACTGATCCAGAAACACGCAAAGTTCGATACATGGACACATTCGAGTTGTCTTCTAACGTAAGAAACTTTTTTCCAGTGACGGACGTTGGCGTAATTTTTCACGATCAACATGGAGCTAACAATCCATTTTTTTTCAGAGGATGGGACGTAAAGCTGAAACACAAACTGTTGCCGAAACTCTTTACAAAAACAAAAGAAGCTTGGAAACAATTTTTAAAATTCTTGATAAAGACAACTCCGGTATAACTACGTAGTAACTAACAAAAGGACAAAGTTTTGAAACAATTTGCCATCGATCTAATAATTTTTATTTTATTTTGCAGGTTATATTACTTTGGAAGAATTTTCGGAAGCTTGTCAGTTGATCGGAAAGTATATGCCCAACCCGATGACTCAGGAGCAACTAGTGGATATTTGCCGTTTGATGGACATAAACAAGGACGGTCTTGTAGATCTGAATGAGTTTCTAGAGAGTTTCCGACTCGCCGAGAAAAGTTTCCAAGATGATGACTTTTCTGAAATAACAGCCACCTGACAGGAACTTGACCGTCGTCCGAGTAGGACGGCGGTCGATAAAGACGAAATCGGTGTGGAGATTAAAGTCCTCAAATTAGATGATGCCGGCGAAAAATATGCTAAGATTGATAATAACGGACAACCTCATTTAATGGGTGCCTGCGTCTCGAACGACGCCGAAGAGTCGGAGGAAATAAAATTGATTGATTGCGAGGGTACGCCTAAAAGGCCCGGATTACTGGAAAGTGATATTTAAACAACCCACAATGTCCAAACTTCAGAGGGGATTGTACAAGATTGTATTTGAAATCTAAGAATCCTTTTCTAGGATCATTTCTACTTTTGATGTTGAAAACTGTGGGCATTTGTAATGGAAATCACCGGTCATGTTATTTGAGCTGAGCCTAATAATTAAATGTGTCTTCTGGTTAGAGAAGACACATTCAATTTTCACAATTTTTTGGTTTGTCTTCGTAATTATAATAAAAAAATATCTTGTAAAATTTTTAAATATTGTGCTATTCTATATAATATTCAACTTAGAATAAGTTAAATTTTTTGATAATTGAGTTATATAAATTGGTGCCAATTATAATCAAAATAAATCATATGAACACAATTTATTGGCCATATATTCTTGGTAACATGCAATTAATGTGCAAATATAATACACCTATTTACTAAAAAAACATTTAACGAATGGGAACAATGACATAAAAAATCAAACGTACGAATACAATTTGAAATATTTGTATTTTTGTAGAAATACATATTTTTATTCAATTTTAGTGATTGTATGTGAACTGAAAATATCGAAATAATATTTATGTATGTAATAAAAAAAAATCCTCTATTGTTAAAACAGTTCCTCAATATATAAACCTAATACGTAGAAATTAATCTTTGTCTCTTCTTATGCATTCAAATGATATAATACATAATATTTTGCATAATTTTAGTTATATTAATAGATAATGAACGTAGGAAATAACGACCATTAAAATAATCGATTCTACACTTACTATAAAAAATTTAGTTCTTTGGTATCTAAACATTTAAGTATATAATTCTATAAATATAAAATAGATCAAGGAATCAGACACGCCTCTAAAAAAAATTGAACAAATTGATATTGTAATGTTGTATAATATTCTAGTCATAACGTTTAATTGTAGTAACTTCCATTTCTCAAACATATCTTGTCTCAATTATTAAAATAAAAGCATTCCAATGTATGTTGTGAAATTCTTCAAATTTCATGTTAGCTTAGATCCATAAAATGCTGTGCTTCTTTTGACTACTAAAATGCATAGTTTATAAAAATATACTTTATCGAATTATCACTTACTTTATGGAATAAAGTAAATGAAGTCTTCAAATAACTTATGGTTGATCTTATTTCAATGTCTAAAATATTATTTTCAAATTAAAATAATAAATTAAAGGAATTGTAGTACATAGTACTTGTGCTGTTTTTCGAATTAATTGTCCATTAAATCGTAATGTTATAATGGCAATTTTTTATTTTATACCACAAGCGGAATTATTCTTCTTAGCTTCTTTTTTTTCGGAGTAAAACGTATTAACAAAACACGTACTTTTTCGTTTCTTGTTCTTTGTTAGCTTCCTTTATGACATACCTATTGTATAAAAATTTATTTCATTTGCCTTTCACTGAAATGTGTTTTTAACGAATTCGACAATTTGAATTCATACTGGGGCACATCCCAGAATACCCAGATCAAAACCAATTTAGAAAAGTTCATTTCCCAAATTGTCTACCGGGAATGCGTAATTTTCGGACTAGTTTTCTTTACTTAATTTCGGCAATTTTTAATATTTAATTGTTGAATGAATATATCATGAAGTATTTTTAATATCCGATTGTAGTCTCCTGAAATATAATTTAATATTCGACGATAATTTACTCGAATACTTAATTAGCAATAATTGCCACTAAATTAGGTAAAGAAATCTGAAAATTAATCGAATCTAGCCTGGAACCTCTGCATTTAGCGCCTACAGTGCAAACCGTTGGGCAACCGAAGTCGTCAAAAAATTTTTCTAATTACAAAGTTACAGAGACGACACAAAATCAGAATAAGCTAAGAAGACCCACTGTGAGTTAACCCACTTCTTCCCACGACTTCCCCCAAAGATAAAAAAAATATATTCTGCTGTATATTAAAACGTCAGTCTTTTTGTTGTTACTTTGTTGATACTATAGGCTCATCAATTTCGTTACCGAGCGGGTAGACAACGTAAGTAAAGTAAAAGAGAGGGTAGTTACCTTGAGTTCCTTTCTTAGGGGTGCAAAAGGTCAGGCATGCTATTAATTCACCCATGGAGCATGTGAATTAAGAATTGCGAACAAAGGTGTAGGTAATATCGACCTTTGGGGGTTTTTACTTTTTTTTTACCCGAAACTGGTTATGATCGTAGGTAATAAAACATTAGTGACGTTTTCGAATGTTATAATTAACACATGAGCGATTACACGATCCGTATATACTGTGAATACCGCTTACGCTTCTAAAAAGTAAATAGGCGTTTGCTTATGGAGTCACACGTAACAGCCAACGTTCAGAAAACAAAAGGCGCCGCACCCACCTGTATAGGTGTGACGCACACATACACGATAACTCTAACTCCACTTGACGTATACTCTTGTAATTTTGTTTGGCCAGATTCTCAATTTTTTATTAAAAAAGTCGAGCTTGACATATTTCAATATGAATGTCGCTATTTTTAATAATCGTGTATGAAACCTTGTAAGCCTAAGAGATTTTGTAGTAAGCACG